GAAAGAGAAAGCGTTGGGGGAGGAACCTGAACGGAGCATGAGTCTGTACAGGGAGAGAGCTTGACAGAACGACGATTGGTTCGCCAGCTCTCTCAGGCGCGTGTTCCATGGCGTTGAATTTGCGGCGGCGGCGGCGGAGGAGTTCCGAACGAGGTGCCGGGATCTAGCGACGATCATGGGTTCTCATGTGCCCGACCACCATAGCTATGCTGGGCCTGTTAGGGAATATATCTTTATTGTTCAATTTTTTTTAACAAATTTATTACAGACTTCAGTTTAAAACTTAAAAAATTATTAATTAAATTATATATAGAGATATACGTATATGAGTAAATTTAATTTAAATTATTAATTAAATTATATATAGAGATATACGTATATGAATAAAGTTAATTAAATTAAATTATTTATAAATCCTAATTAAATATATAATATACATCAAATTGGTATTTTCCTGCTTGAACATTGCACACATTCATCTAATTTTGGCTAAAAACTAAACAAACTTACAAAAGTTCATATATGGGAATCTTACGAATTCCAGTTTTCTAGAAGAAAACAAAATGACATTTTTCTTGATCCATTAAAAAAAGTTCATATATATATATATATATATATTCACTTACCAAGAAATCGATTAGAAAAAGATGAACCCTAAAAAACATCATTGCTTGTCTCCCAAGAAATCGATTAGAAAAAAAAAGCATCATCACAAAAAGAAAGACTCAAATGTTCGTGAAACATGGTTGTAGAAAAAATCTTCTGGCTACTGAATATTAACGGAGAAAACCAATCTAACGGAGTGGTGACCGTCGGTCCACACAACAGATCCATAATTATACCCTCTGGTCGCATCGTTCTCTCCATAGAACCAAACCCTAAACCTCGCCTCCTTCACGCTCTCTCCAAACACCAGTTTCCTAGGAGAGACACCGACCACCAGCCCTTCAGGAGCCTCGATCCTCGCAACGTACGTAACGTTAGCCGCCGACCCGACATTAGTTGCGGTCCTTTGCACCACCGTCCGGTGACGCCGGCGGAGGTTTCCGACGGATATCGACGGGTAATTGACGGTGGAGATTGAGTTTCTGGAGGTGTTCTTGGGGCAAGTGAGGTTAGTTCTGGTGAAGGATCTGACGATTTTCTGAGAGTAGCCGTAGAAGCAGAGGAAATTAACGTAGTCCTGTTGGGTTGTTTCGAACACGAGTCCCGGGTCGGATGCTCGGACAGGGCTGATCTCTCCTGCCCCGACCTCGTGTGGGGTGGATGACATGCCTGATGTCAGAGACAGATGAATATTGTAGGATAAATGCCTGAAAACTGAAGACTCTAGCTGGGTTAAAGGGTTTGTAAGGGTAGTAGGGTAAATTGACTTGTGATGGGTTGTTATTTTCTTTCTGTTTAAAACACGTGTACCGACTCGCAATTAGAGTCTCACGCACACACTCGTCATTCTCTCTCTCTCAATCTGTTTTCTGGGGATTTTCTTGGAGAAGGAAACTTTCTCGAGAAAATACTCAGTATCTGTACCTCAATCATCTCTAGTGAATTGCCAAGTCACTTGGCCGAGACGTAGGATCGATTTGTGATCCGAACTCGTAAAAGATCTTGTGTTCTTGCCATTTCTCTTTCTATCTCATTTAGTTGAAGTAGTCATCGGGAGATTACGAACACCAGAATCTAATCCACTGCGTAACAACTGGTATCAAGAGCCCGGTTCCGGCCAGGGAAGAATCTCAACTGCAAAGATCGAAGACCTTGGATCAAAAATCTCAGATCAGGTACGAGCTCTGAAATTTTCTGATCAATAATGTCATCTACACCTATGGTTGTGAAATTAGATGTAGAAAAGTATGACGGGAAAGGTGACTTCTCGTTATGGAAGGACAAGATTCAAGCAAGTTTAGACATACTTCAGCTGAGTGATACGTTGAGAGTTGGTTATATTCTCGGATCGAAAGAAAGTGTGGATGATTCAGGAGATATGAGACAGAAATCAGAAGAAGGGAAGCCAACGATCCTGAAGAGATCAGGTCTGTCTCAAGAAGAACGACTTGAGAAGAGCAAAAAGGTACGAAACCTCATTTTTCTGTGTCTTGGGGATCAGATAATGAGAAAAGTGAAAGGTGAACAAGAAGCAGAAGGTATCTGGAAGGCGTTGGAGAAGGAATTTGTGCATAAAACTATGCCAAACAAAATGTATCTCAAACAAAAACTCTTCAGTTTTAAGATGGAAGACTCTAAAAGCATGGAAGAAAACCTGGATATCTTCGGAAAGCTGATTGGAGACCTGCTATCTCTAGAAATAGAAATTTCAGAGGAAGACCAGATCATGTACTTGTTGAACTCATTACCAGATAGGTATGATGTTTTGAAAGACACGATCAGATTCTCAAGGAAAGATGATATAACAATGGAAGATGTAACTTCAGCGATCTACTCAAAGGAACTTGAGTTCAGAACCAAGAATAAGACAACTTCAGGAGAGGGATTGATGGTAAAAGGTAAATCAGACAAAAAGGGATCAAAGAATCCTAAAGGGAAGCATCACAAGACCAAGGGAAAACCCAAGAACAAGAGTGAGTCTGGGTGTTGGTTCTGTGGTAAGGAAGGGCACTTCAAGAAAGAATGTCGGACTAGAAAAAGATTTCTAGAAGAACAGGAAAAGCCAACAGGAGAGGCTGCAGCCGCAGAAGGGAAAGAAATGGAGACTGAAGTATTGACAGTATCAGAGCAAGAGCCTAGAAAACAATGGATTCTAGACTCGGGATGCACTTTCCACATGACACCAAGGAGAGATTGGTTTACCAACTTCACAGAAACAGATGGAGGAAAGGTTCTCATGGGAAACAATGGATCCTGTGAGGTAAAGGGCATTGGAGATGTGAAAATCAGATTCCATGATGGGAAAATCAGAATCCTAAGTCAAGTCAGATTCATACCTGAACTTAAAAGGAACCTCATATCGTTGGGTTCTCTGGACAAATTAGGAATGCACTATAAATCGAAAGGAGGCAAACTCGAAGTGTTCAAAAATTCGGCACAAATTATGTGTGGAAACCTTGAACAAGGATTATATGTTCTGCAAGGTGAAACATTAGAAGGCGAGAGTTATGTAACAGAGAAAGCTGATGAAACCATGCTGTGGCATCGAAGGTTGGGCCATATGAGCAACAGAGGAATGCAACTAATGACACAAAAAGGACTGCTAAACAAAATAAATCTCAAGGATTTGCAGTTCTGCGAAGATTGTCTTTTAGGAAAGTTTCACAAGCTCAGTTTTGGCAAAGGAAAGCATGTTTCAGATAATATCCTTGATTACATACACTCAGATCTGTGGGGATCTTCAAATGTGAAGCCCACCTTAGGGAAAGCTCAGTACTTCATCTCCTTTATAGATGATAAGTCACGGAAAGTGTGGATCTATCTTCTGAAATCAAAGGATGAAGCGTTTGCAAGATTCACAGAATGGAAAACATTGGTAGAAAATCAAACCGAAAGAAAGATAAAACACCTCAGAACAGATAATGGCCTGGAGTTTTGTAACCTTCAGTTCGATCAATTCTGCAAAGAAAATGGGATAAAGAGACATAAGACTTGCACATATACACCACAGCAAAATGGAGTGGCAGAACGCATGAATCGAACCATCATGGAACGTGTCAGAAGTTTGTTGAGTGATTCTGGGCTGGCAGAGGAATTCTGGGGAGAAGCAGCAACTACGGCAGTATATCTGATTAATCTCGCACCATCCAGTGCTATAGACATGAACATACCAGAACAAGTCTGGAACGGGAAGCCACCTAGCCTAGAACATCTGAAAAGATTCGGCTGTCTGGTCTACGAACATGTAAACCAGGGAAAATTGAAGCCTCGAGCAAGGAAAGGCTACTTCGTGGGATACCCGGCAGGAGTCAAAGGCTACAGAATCTGGCTACCCACGGAAAGAAAGGTAGTTATCAGCAGACATGTTATATTCAAAGAAAATATAGCATACAAGGATGACATAAAAGGGGAGAACTCGGACGGTAAACAACAGAAGGGAGTACACACCCTTGGAATAACCTCAGAACAACAGATACAAGTAATTCAGAACTTCAAGGAGGAATATGCAGAATCAGGTGGAGCTGACTCAGAAACAGATTCAATTGTTTCAGAAAATGGAGAAGCCCAAGAACAAGAACTCATCCAAGAAGAACAACTAGAAACTGCAGAAAACACTTCTGAAGATCTGAGGAACTATCAGCTAGCCAGAGATAGGGAAAGGAGACAAATAATGCCTCCTCAGAGGTTCAGGGATGAAAACACATCAGCATTTGCTCTGGCAGCAGCAACAGAGCTTGATCTGGATGAACCGAAGAGTTATCAACAAGCATTGCAGACTAAAGAGAAAACCCACTGGTTGAATGCTATGAAAGAGGAAATGCTCTCACTACAGAAGAACAACACATGGAAATTGGTAAAGAAACCCAAGAATAAAAGGATAATTGGCTGTAAATGGGTTTTTAAACGGAAACCTGGAATCCCAGGAGTGGAAGAGCCAAGATTCAAAGCCCGACTTGTAGCAAAAGGCTACTCACAAGTAGAAGGAATAGACTACAATGAGATTTATTCTCCTGTAGTCAAACATGTGTCTATAAGATTGTTGCTTGCATTGGTAGCATCAAAGGACCTGGAGTTGGAGCAATTAGACGTAAAAACAGCCTTCTTGCACGGTGAACTCGAGGAGGAAATACTCATGTCTCAACCAGAAGGTTTCAAGGAGAAAGGGAGAGAAGAATATGTTTGCATGCTAAGGAAGTCTCTCTACGGACTTAAGCAGTCCCCCAGACAATGGAATATCAGATTTGATACCTTCATGATCAGAAAAGGATTCACTCGCAGCAAATACGACTTGTGTGTCTATTTCAGAAAAGTAAAACAGAATGCATACATATATCTACTGATATATGTAGATGATATGCTCATAGCAGCAGAAGATAAGGAGGAGATTCGCAAAGTCAAAGATATGCTCGCACATGAATTTGACATGAAAGACTTAGGGAAGGCTAGAAGGATACTTGGAATGGACATAAGTAGAGACAGAAGCAAGAAAATCTTGACACTGTCTCAACAAGAGTACCTACAGAGGGTGGTAACCAACTTTGGCATGCAGGATTCAAAGCCCGTCCATACCGCAATGGGTGCCCAGTTTAAACTCAGAAGTACCAGGGAAAATGACGAAGCCTTAAATCTGGATACTACCCCATACCTGAATGCAGTAGGGAGTATAATGTATGGGATGATTGGAACACGACCTGACTTAGCATACAGCATTGGTCTCGTGAGCCGATTCATGAGCAATCCAAATAAAGAGCATTGGGGAGCTGTAAAATGGATTCTCAGATACATCAAAGGTAGCATTGGGCTAAAGCTGGTATATAGTCGAGAAGAGGATTTTGAGCTGATAGGTTACTGTGATGCTGATTATGCATCAGACCTTGACAAACGGAGATCGATCACTGGATATGTGTTCACCATTGGCGGAGGCGTCATAAGCTGGCGATCGGGTTTACAACACGTCGTGGCTCTCTCCACTACAGAGGCAGAATACATGGCTCTGGCTGAAGCTTTTAAAGAAGCAATTTGGCTGAAGGGATTAACTCAAGAACTTGGAATAAAGCAAGGAGCAGTGAAAATTTTCTGCGATTCACAAAGCGCAATCTGTTTGGCAAGAAACAGCATTCATCACGAGAGGACCAAACATATAGACGTTAGGTTACATTTCTTGAGAGAAGTAATTGCAGAGGATAAAGTACAGGTTCAGAAGATAACTTCGGAGAAGAATCCAGCTGATATGCTAACAAAGTCACTTCCAATCAGCAAGTTCAACCAAGCGTTGGCAACGCTGAAGGTCACTGATAGGTAATATCAGTGGAAACCCTGTCAAGGGGTATAAAAATTGACTTGGTTTCGTTCACTAGGGAGAGAAAGAGGAAGCTCGAGTCTGTTCAGCTCAGGCAAGGTGGAGATTGTAGGATAAATGCCTGAAAACTGAAGACTCTAGCTGGGTTAAAGGGTTTGTAAGGGTAGTAGGGTAAATTGACTTGTGATGGGTTGTTATTTTCTTTCTGTTTAAAACACGTGTACCGACTCGCAATTAGAGTCTCACGCACACACTCGTCATTCTCTCTCTCTCAATCTGTTTTCTGGGGATTTTCTTGGAGAAGGAAACTTTCTCGAGAAAATACTCAGTATCTGTACCTCAATCATCTCTAGTGAATTGCCAAGTCACTTGGCCGAGACGTAGGATCGATTTGTGATCCGAACTCGTAAAAGATCTTGTGTTCTTGCCATTTCTCTTTCTATCTCATTTAGTTGAAGTAGTCATCGGGAGATTACGAACACCAGAATCTAATCCACTGCGTAACAAATATGTATGTCAAATATTTGCTAGGTTTTCAGTATGCGAGTTTAAATGCGAAATTTTGATTTTTTTTTTCAAAATAAATATTATAAATCATGAATTGATACGAGTTCTGCAACCTAAATCTGAAATTTCAAGAGATTTTATCATGAAATATCTCTAAATTCTATATGAATAAAAAATGTTACTGAATTACCGAATTATAAAAAAAAAAATTGTTTATTCGTTTTTTGTGGATAATATCCGATTTTGAATCCAATTATAAACTGATTTTTGGATTGTTTTTTTAATCTCATCTCATATAATATTCAAAAATTTGGCTTTTTTTTTTTAACCCAATTCTTGATTCTTAATGAAAATTCAAAAGAAGAAGAAATTATTGTATACAATTACCTGAAGTGTTGGACAAGGGTCGTCTCATGTTGTCATACGACGTCGCTGCGTGTAAAATGGATACAAAAGACGAGTGATTAATGGTTTATTAAGACGTGAATGAAGGAAAATGGGAGAAAGGAAGAACCGGAGGTGATGAGGGCAGATTTGATGAAAGAAGGAGGCCACGAAGGATGCAGGGATTTGAGGAAAGCGGAGGCCCCGGTCACGTGAGGACATGCCATCGACGTCCCCGACCTCACCGCAAACGCAGACGCCTCCCTCCCTCCCTTCGGAATCGCTGCTCCCAAAATTGCTACTCCCGGCGCCATCACGTCCGGCTGAAACCGCGCATACACAGAGATGACGTCATAAGCACAATCTGATATATTCGGGTTCGGATTCGAGTACCTCGTATACTGTAAATCCTTCTTGATACCCAATGATAATTCTTAAAACGATGATGAAACACAGTGATAAACCGACAGTAAAATTTCAATTTTACCTTGAGGATGTTGTCTGTTAGAACACCAGGGCCTCTCGACGAGAAGTATGCGACGACCGGTGCTGGCTTGGCCCTTTGGATCTCAACTGTCGGAAGGATCGTTGCCTTTGGATTCCTGTATCGTATATTTACACAAATATCAAATATATAATCGAACGGTGCAATGAATTCGACGGATAATGTCGGAATCGTTACTTGGTCTGGCTCATGTATTTGAGGATCTTGTACCCTTCACCGTTACTGACTTCTGAGAAAGGGAATTCTTCTGAATCAAACGGCACAGTTTTCTCATCTTCGTTGATCAGAACCATCCCTTTCCCTTCCGCGTCTTCAACCACCAGTTTCTGGATCCTTCTTGATACACCCATCCCGTTTCCCACGCAGATAACGATCTTTCCCATTGATTTCTTGCGATCCAAGGAACCCGGGTAACAGGCCCTGCAGTTTTCCAGAAACACAGACTTACAAATTTCATGGCTGAAGCTTTGTTTATGTTTATTTGACGATAACTTGCGTCCTAAGTAAAGGGTTGTACTTTGCTTCTTGGATGGGGACAAATGGACCAGCTGCGTCTTTTCCGTACACGAGAGGGTACATCTCAGATCCTGTCAGGTTCGAGAAATTGATCCCAGATCCCTGGAGATGCAAAAGATTGAATCTTTCTTACCATCTTCGCCCGAAATCGGATTCTTTTACAGATTGTTACACCACTTTACCCGTAAGGCCTTGCCATTGCCCAGAACGACAGTGGACTGAAACTTTCTGTCGATGTCGGAAGCCGACACAGTGAAAATCCACGGCGCCGCGTTGACGACGGTGAACGGAGTGGGGCCCTCGTTCCCGGCGGAGCAAATTACCAAGATGCCCCTGAGCTCGGCGTGGAACGCCCCAATGGCGATTGGGTCGACCAGGAAATCGGGCTGAAGTGAGGAGCCGAGGCCGATGGAGATGGAGATGAAGTCAACGCCGTCGTTGACCGCATCGTCCATGGCCTTGAGAATGGCGGCGCCGGAGCATCCGTCTTCCGTACAGGTCTTGTAGACGGCGACGCGCGATGACACGTCACCACCTCTCGCCGTCCCTCGGGCCAGGCCGCAGTAGCTCGCGTCGGCCACACGCGCCCCCGCTGCGATTGAGGCCGTGTGGGTCCCGTGTCCCACGGAGTCTCTTGCTGAGGCGTCGGCGCCGGATTCAGTATCTTGGCGCGTGGGTGTCACCACGTAGGATCTTGCCCCGATCAGTTTTCTGTAACTCAGAATTTAAAGCATGTACAATTATATATATATACAAATATATATATATATAAAGATATGATTGAGGATGCTAAAAGAAGAACCTGTTACAGTTGGATTTTGTGAAATTGGGACCTTCCATACAAATTCCTTTCCATCTTGATGGGATTTCACCCATTCCTTCATCATTGAAACTTGAAGACTCTGGCCATATTCCTATTCATTTTCAACATACATTTTACATTATTCATATTCTTGATAATCGAATTATTTATAAAAATATATATCAAGTTTGTTGCTTTTTAAAGGAGTAATATATAGTTGTATATTGTGGAGGAAAAGGGAATCGATGCAGTTAATTCGTCGTTTGACAATATTAATTAATATTATTTATCATATAGGATTATATCTTATCTCAACAGATATATAGCCCAAGATGTTCCCCAAAAGATTGGATTAGTCGTTGAAATCAATCATTATTTGATTATTTTATAGTTATAACAAGTACGTAGTTATAGTAATGATGCATGTGATCACACATGCAAATTTTCTATGTGGGTCCTTCTTGTTAAATTGTGGGCCTTAATTAGTTGTACACTTTTTTTGTTAAATAAAAAATTATATTAAATATATATGAAAAGGTAGGTATACGTATATATACCTGTATCGATGACACCGACAATGACATCGGAGGATCCATGCATAGGAGAGTTAGAGATTGGTCCGGAGATTGATTCCAAGAAATCCCAAGACCGAGTTGTGTGAAGCTGAAGTGTTGGATCCGGAAATATTGATACAACTTCATCGTGCTCTACAATTACAATATATAACCCAATAAAATATATATTTTTTGTACTATATATGTATCTAAATATCTGAATTCTAGCGTGCATATATACATGTGTGTGTGTGTATATATATATATAACTATTACTTTAGTTTTGGAATATATTGAAAGTTGTCGATTAATTAAATGAGAACGCCACTAATGATGATTCTTCAATGAGTCGCTGGCTTTTCCAAGGTGAAAAAAGGGGTTGAGCCAATATCAATTTTTATTATAATAACTAAATAATACACATATACATATATCTACCACAAAACTCTTCATAGCGATCATAAATGAAAATATATATAGATACATGCATATATATAGTTTCTCTGATTCAGTTCAAAATGAGCTCCAAACAGGAAACAGAAAAAATAAACCGAGACCTAAGTTTAAATTCAAATGAGCCTAAATATGAATTACATAACCGGATATAAACCGGACTAAACCAAGAATTCAACGACTGATACGTCATGTTAAAATTCCTAATATTTTTAGGAGATCCAAATTAAATACCCATTTCGAATTCATGCGACAAATTTAATACGTTGGACAGTTTATGCACATAAGCATAATCGATTTAGAAGCAAAATAATATATGATGATATATATAATCATACAGACACGGACATGTACATATACATATACATATACATACATATATACACAGACACATACACATACACACACGTAATATTACCAGAGAAGAAGGCAGCTTCGTCATCAGTGAGCATAGCCGAGAAGCCCTTGAAGGCATGCTTGTAATGGTGGACCACTTTTACTCTGTCATTCTCTTCCCTACCAAAAAACACACACAAACCAATTAAACACTAATTCGCATCTACACACATGCGCATAAATCCATGAATATATATATATATATATATATACACATATACATATAGGTACCTGGGAATAACAGAGGCCAGTAATTGGAGATAAGATGATTCTGTGGTATGCCCATTTGCTTCATTGTGTTGAAGATTTGTATCATCATCATCTAATGATAAGCCTCCCATGTATATAACATAATGCTGCAATTCCCCAGAAATTTAACATTGGCTCATATATATATATATATATATATGAATGAATATACATAATAATATACAATGTGTCATAAACTAATTAGTACGAGTGCGTATATATAAATTAGGAGTTAATTATTTAATGAATTAATTACCTTGGGAAATTGGAGTGAATAGATTGGGGTGAAGAGAAGACATGTGAAGGAGACAAGGAGGAGACAAAGAGAAGTAGCCATGAGGAAAGATTATATGACAGGAAGTGATATGTTAGGGACAACATGCTTGATGGTTTATATATATATATATATATATATATATATATATATATATATATTACTGATTATGTATGTACGAAAATAATAAAACCTGAATTACCAAAAAAGAAAAGAAAAGAGAAAAAGAGGAAGAGTAGTAGCATTGGTTCGAGAATTTCCAAAATATAAAATAGAACACTTGTCGTTGAGTGAAAGTATCTTCTAAAGTTCCTTGTATCATTTTTTTTTTCACGAGAGACATTTTCCTCTCCGTATATATATATATATATACACACATATGCTTATTTTATGGCTAAGTTAATAAATCAGTTAAATAAACTATTTCTATATCACTTAACTTAAGTAATATATATTCTACTCGTTTTAGAATATATATATATATATGCGTGTGGATGTTCGCAGCTATTGATGTGATTATTTACCTTCCATGATATTTTGATTAAGACATAGTTTATCATATTAATATTGTGAGAAAAATGGTGCCCACTAATTAAAAAGAATATGACTCGATCGTGACAATATCCTTGATCAATAGAGATTTTTCTAGATCCATATATATGTACATATATACATACATATATGTGTGTGTGTTTGTGATTTCTGTGAACCTCACACTAAACTAAAACTAAAACTGTAAGTGCAAAGAAAAAGCAGATCACAGCTCAGATATGCTAAAGCCAACACAACTGCCTTGAGATACAAGCAACCTCTCTCCTCTTCTTATCATTTTTTTCCTCAAGCAAATGCAACTTATGGCACACCACTTAACTCTTCTGCTAGTTATTTTTCAAAAAGCTCAATTTCACATTTCCCCTCCCCCCCCCAAAAAAAATTCACACGCATGTATATCTAAATACGTTTTTTTTATATTTATAAATGATATTATCCCTAGAATTAATATAAATGTTATTCTCTTTTTTTTTTCTATTTTCTCCATCGGCCTCCATGCAATACGGAGTTCCATGCAGATCCCGAAAATCTCAATAGCAACCATGACTCTTCCATTTCTGGATAAATTTTTAATTCTAACTGAATTCGGGCACCCAATTACCTTTTTTTTTATATATGAATTTGAGATATCCAAATTAATCGAACATAAAATCGACAGATGGGGATTTTATTTTCATTTCCGAATATAAATGTTCGGATGCACAAACTCGCTCGTCATTTACCGGAGAAATCAATCCAAAAAAATCGAGAGAACGAAACCCTATTTGAATAGCCGAGAGAACATCACACTAGAAGGCAAACATTACTATTTCAATTAAAAAACAATACGACACATGTATACCTGCATTGCATATTAAACATATACATACATGCAACATTTCCATACAAAAAAGGGGAAACAGAGTAATTTGCATTTTCATTCGGTTCTACAAATTAGACTCAGACGTCTTGGTCATTCCTTCACCAAATCACAAACCCCAATACAAAGAATATGCAGTATCCCTAAACCCACACACACTTTGTTAAAATAATAACCACCAACACCTACCAACAGTGCTTTTACACTCTTTTTTTTCTCCCATCTGTTCAACGAATGATTCCACCCCGGAGGTGATTGAAACTTGAAACTACAATTTGTAAAATGCCACCGTCCAAAACTCTCCCACAAAAGTTTTGTGTACTTTCTTCTTACCTTTCCTCCACAGAGGAAAAAACAACTGTACAAATGCCACAAACTTTAGTAAACTGTGCTCCAACAGAAACAAAACCTTTTTGTCCCCTCTGCACCTGTAGCTCAAGGCATCTTCTGTTACCACCCACGGATACAGTTAAAGGGGTCGGCCGGTTGTTTGTTTTTTGGCGAGGAGATCTGTTGTAAGTATCCTATTTGACACGGAATTCATGTCTGAAAAGCGTCAAGTTCTGGGTGAACTTGTCCCTGTTCTTCGAATCTAAGCTGCGTGTAATGTCTGCCATGAGATTATCGAAACATACAGCCAGTCTCTGCTGTTGATCCACTGCCTGCAATCCATCATATACATGTTCAAGGTTTCTCACGAGTTTTGGTTGTTTTCCAAACCTCACTCCATTTATTTCATCTACTTATCACAACAGACCCGACATAAACAATCACGTCCTCAAACGTTCTCAATGCACATGTAATACGCAGCAAACTGAGAAAGAAGAGAGAGAATTTTGGGTTACCTGTGAAGCAAGGATCTTAGCCTTCAGGTCAGAGAAAATCTGGAGGAAGCAGTGACAACAAGTTAGTTGACCCCCCCAAAAAAAAAAAAGAAAAAGAAATTGAGAGAAACAAAACATAAACACCACCGTAAAATGAAAGAAAATAGATTTTAAACCCCCCCCCCCCCAAAAAAAAATAAAAAATAAAAGATAACGAAGAGCATCGGTACCTGAACCAATCTGATAGAATATTATGGAAAAAAGAGCAATAAAAATATTTCGGACATGTTGGCACAACAATTAGAAACTCTATAATTACCTGTTCGCTTATGAGAATTAGGCTTAACATTGGCCTGCTGAGGCTCCATTGATTGCCACAGTCCTCAAATAAAACAATCTCAAACAGTGTCTTCAATATCTGCTCGAAAGAGGAACATGTAAGTATAGCCCACAAGTGTATAGGCAATAAAAGAATACCGATGCCAATGAGAAATAAAAACGTGAAATTTACCTCGGGAAACAAATTAGGGCAGTCCACAATGTGCTGTGCAAGGCGCAGAGCCGCAGGTGTAGAGGGTGCATCCCCCATGGTGATGTTGTTGAAGTAAAATGTAGCAAGATAATCTACAGATATTGCACACTGACATGACATATATCTACATCAGCACTTATTCGACAGCAATAAAATGGCATCCAGACCAAGAAATTTTTCAACAATTACTAAAACTTCAAATTCTTAATGGTCAAATAGTTCCCAGATTCTCTAACCTGAGATGAAATACTTGTGTCCAATCCCTTAAGACCAGACTCAAGGGAACCTACTATATGCATAAAGGTGGGAGTATCGAGATTCAATATGAAGATGATATGATGGCTGAACAAAACATCCAAGAATCCAAAGTACGCCTTTGTAAGCTGCAAAATGGAAGAAAGGCAATGAGATTTGAGATTTTGGGTGCAGGCCCTTACGACAAGTATACAGGGAAAAGAAATTCATAGCATGCAGAATATAATTGTCTTCAAATGTTCCCCATTACAAAGATTTTCCTAGTGAAGCGGCCAAAACAAAAGGATCATCACTATTTTAAAGTTGTGAAGAATTTTGGTGAAAAGGAAAGTAGGCAATATAGGTAACAAAAATACAGGAAGTATCACACATACCTTACGGTACGCTAATATATCGGCCAAGGGTATTGATAGTGTCATCTTTAAAGAGATATCAAGTGCATCTGCCAGAGCTCGATCACCATACAGTTCAAACACACCGAAGTTGCAATAACCTCCATTAAGAGCTGTACAGTTGGGTGTGGAAAAGAGTTAAAAAAAAAAGTCTCGAGTAAAATGTACTACAAGAGGAAACGACTGGTCATTTGCAGACTAGGAAATCAAGAGGAATACCACAGCAACCGATCATATTAAACATCATAGAAAATTCAATTGATTGGATCAATTGAAACTTTTGGTCTTACCTCTTGATAAAATTGTCAGTGAAATCCATATTCCCTTGTACTTGTAGGCATATATGTCCGCAACATTTGGAAGAGCCAAAATCCTTGAACCATAACCCACAATTAGTTTACTGACTTCCCGGAACAGAAGGATGCCATTGGGAGAAGAGGAGTCAAACGTGAGACGTTGGCCTTTGTTTAGTGCAAACTCAGCCATGAACTTCAACAATGGGGTTGTAACCTGCATCATTGAAACGAACATGATAAGACTAGGAAGGATCACTTGATTTGAATCAATGAACAGTAACTGAACGTTACATCTGAATCTAACCACATATGTATACGACTTAAAACTGACACACTCAAGCCAGATTTTAGTGGTGTTCAACAAGCTTTAACAAAAGTATAGATCAATTCCAAGTCACAGGCACCCATAAAATCAATGCATGTCAATTATTCCGGATAGCTACATTTATTTTCACACATATACCCCATATTGGGGAGAAATTTTCCATTGCAAGTCACAATTCTTGATTCAAACCTTATCTGCTTCCTTTACACTAAACCTGGGTGACCGCATATCACAAGCATCTAATAAACAAAATGAGTATACCTATTTACCTAATGTCCATCTACATAAGTTACTACAAAAGCAAATAGTGTGATAGAAACAAGAGTCGATCTAAAAAAAAGGTAACCAGGATAGACTACCACGGCATAAAACCATAGCATAAAAAGATCAATTGTCATCAAGACAGTGAGAGGTTGTGCTAAAAAACTGTATTAAATTTCAAGGACAATTTCACAGTCAAGGCACAGACTGGAGCAAGCAGACTGCACAAAATAGTGTGTGTGTTTTCCTAAGTAGCTAAAAACCAGGTCGCTCAATATTTTGGTGTGTGTGGGAGTAAAAGCTCAGTTTAATTTCCTAATTTTGGTTTACTTAGATTTTGTGGCCGGACTCCTCCCATTCAAGTTATTGCTGGAACAATAACCTCTAATACTAGCCAGAAGGGCAAAATGCATGACTGCATACCTCCGGTGTGTCAAACCAATTCGAGATCCCTCTCAAAAGAAGTGGCATGTGCGCCGGATAAAGCCAATCAAATAAAAGACCATAGCTTCTTCGACTGAAACCCAAGGAAAAAACATTACAAATCAATGGACTGTAAACTGTTATGAATGAAGAACTAGATAAAGTCTGCACCTGCTCGTGGCCATTGCAATTCCTCTTAAATCCCTCATTAATCCGATCAAAGCAAACTTTACCACGTCAGAGCGAAAGAGTGAATCAGGTGTTGACTCCAAAGTAAGGAAAACCTAGAATGGCAGGAAAAGTAACTTTTAAACACTAGATACAAGCATTACAGCCTATAGAAAGATGGTGGTAGACGCAGTATAAAACATTGTCCACCACAAAAGACTACAGCTAATACTAAATAGGACACCTGACCGTGCCTATAACAGAATTCACATGTCCACTAACTAAAACAGCAAGAAACACAAGAAGCTTATAAAATATCCAGCTTATACTCTTTCCTATTATGGTCCTACACCTTTAAGGTTAGCCAAGCTTGCAGCTTGACTTTACTTCATCATTCAGGTTAAAATTCAACTGTTACAAGCTCAAAATCAAAACATTGGCTATACAAAAACCACATGTTCTATGAAATTTCCACGACATACATGTATATTAAGGTGTTTTCTCCTTTTATTCGACTCTAAGTAAACTCAGCAGACAAAATAAATTTTCACTTAGCACGCAGTCCCGTCATTACAATCAATTAGCATTATGCATTCCGTACGCAAAAAAGGATCCTGCTG